CATGCCTGTTACGGCGCCAACGGTGCAGCTTCTAGCTTCCAAACATTGAGGCACACGTTAATCCGCTCCCCCTATTAATATATTTTTAATTGGGGTTTTTGGGGTTGGGTTTTTTGCTTTTCCAACAATGTGAGGGTTCACATAGGATTTGGAGGAAATGGATTGAATTGTAAGGTCCGCGAGTAAGCGGTTTAATAAGGAAATTTGATGTATCATTCTATTTGTTTACCAGTTTACTGGTTGTTTGTTTGCAGCCAGGAACAACAGAGTCAAGAACAACCTTTTGGGGAACCCACCAAAAGAACCCAACCTTTTGAGAAGCCAGCTTTCGGGGAAGCAACCTTTTGGGGAATTGAGGAACCCACCTTTTGAAAAGTGAGGCTGGAAGCTTGCTAAAAGTGCCCCCTAATAAGGATTCCAAGACTTTAGTATTGGTTTAGTATTGGCGCAATGGAAAATCAATTGTGCGGAGTGGAAATCTGGCCTTGGGCCCCGGATTTGCATGTATTATTAATGGGGGTCATTCATTAATAGGGGGAGGAGATTATTTAGATGATCTTTTTTGTGTTTCGTTACAGCCCTTTGGTTTTACATGGTTATTAACATGAACAGCGACGTGGTTTTTGTTTATGATTTTTGGCCGATTTTAAACTCTACAGAGATAGGGACTAAATTTGGGATTGAATCCAATTTGTTTATTCCCATCCCAAAATCTGTTCTTCAGCCGATGTGCCCCTCCATTTGAGTTCACAGCTAGCTAGTTATCTATCTCTCCATTTGTGCATCAATCACGTCTAGTTGTCTAACCAATCGTGTCAATCAGCCATAATATATAATCTATCTTTCTGCGCACCTATCTACCCATCAATATTTGTGCCAACCAATCTGCTTGTCTATTTTTTGCATCTGTCCATTTCTCTACTCTATCTATCCACCTTTCTTTCTTTGGCCTATGCAGCGGCATCCCGAAAAGCATGTTGCAAACCGCAGCTGGGACACACGATCCTTTCTTTCCGGCTACGCTACCACCAGTCCATGCGCCGTGCTTGACATTGCCGCAGGTGGTGCCGGACTTTCGAGCTCGTGATAGCTGCCCGGCTGCTGGTGCTCTCCAAAGCCGGAAGTAATATAAGCTAACAAAACATAAATCAACAAGTGAATAAACAATTGAAGACCCACATACATATATGTATAAATCAATTACATACACAAGCAACCTGATTTGTTTGGTTGGTTGGTAGGAATCCAACATGTAAATAGGGCTGGAAAAACTATGGTGGAGTGCTGGATATCTTAGGGGTGGTCATCAATCCAACTTGGATTTTGGAAAAGCAGTTTGGAAAAGCAGTATGAGGGTTTCACATGAACCCCCAGCGCGCCTCGCCCAGGATGAGTGCTAAAGGGTGCAGAGTTAGGTATTGTAGGTTTAGGGTTTTAGGGCATAGGTTTAGGTTGTTCAGGTTTTTTTCAGATTTGTGTATGGTTTAGGTTGTAGGTGTTCTCTTTTTAGGGTATAGGTGTACAACTTTCCCGCTTTACGACAAACGTCTTCTTGCGTTCTTTGTTTAATTTGGGTCAAGGATTTTCAGTGTTTTTAGGGTTTTTAGGGATTAGGTTCAGGGCACAGCTTCCCAGACTTCTACAATCTGGAGAAATGCTCCTGATTGGGCCTGGGTGTACGAGCACGAGGGGGGTAAGCCGCGGGTTCATTCGTTCGGCTCTCTCTCGCAGGTTGAATGCGAGCAAGTGGCCTCTGAATGCATAGAGGGGTGTATTTTCATGTAGCTCACCTATTTTTGCTGATTCATCGCCCTGTGTGACACTGTGGGGGAGATTTAAAGCGGTGACTGGAGAAATAGCAGGGCCACCAACTTTTTGAGTTCTTGGCCTTTGAAAGACCAGATGCATTCTCACAAAATCCAAGAAGATGCATGGGCCATGGGTGTTTCCTAGAAGCCGCCACTAGTCGTGCTTCGCCATCCAATGCCGACTTTCCCAATCTTGGGGCATCCATTCGGTTTATGACAGGGCGAATTTTGCATTTTGTCAGTTCTCAGCTGAACTGAGGATCCCCTTATGAATCAGGTTTGGGATGAACTCGAATAGGATATCCCAGTGTGGGGTGGCTTTCCCAGCAGAAACTGGGCTTCAATACAAACAACCGCTGGAAAGTGATACTGATTGAACACGTTGTTATTGTTACTGTCTGAAATGGGAGCATACCCAGCACATGCAATGCTCACCTCACTTGCCCAACTGGCTGATTGTTTTTCTAGATTGTCGCGCGTCAGACTCAAACCAATCACCGGCGAGGGTTTCCAAACGTTCATAGGAGAAGAATGTCTTCAACTCGGAACCTGCAGTTGGAGAAGCTCACTGAAACGGTCGTGAGGGTTCCATTTTACACCAAGTGGTCGGCACCCACATTTCCCTCACTTGAGGAAAATGTAGACACTGCGTTTTGGTGCAACAGTGTTCTGCCTTTCAATTGACCATTCTGGATTAGGAACGACTAGAGGATCAGGATGACCTTTGTCAGTAGAGCTTCAGATACGCAGGGGTGATTCCAACTCCCGCGTTTGGGAGCGAACCCGGTCTCTCTAAAAGTGATTGGCCCAGCCCCGACTGAATCTTGGGTCCTTACCAGACGAGAGAGTGGCTGAAGCCAGCGAGAGATGCGCAAGGGCAGTATTTCTCAGGATTCTTTATAGCCCATTCTGGATTTCATAAGTTCGCCAAACAAGCGCCCGTTTTGTTTTTTCCCCCAAAAAAACATGTTGCATGTCCCACCCCCAAAAGCGCCCCCAAGGCTGCGTTTGTTTCGCTCAGGTTGCCACGACGTAGATGAGAGCGCAGCCTCTGGAGGCGAGCCTCCGAGAATGTTTTGGACCACGGCAGAGGGCGCGCTCCGGGGACGAGAAATGCAACCAGCTAAAAGAGACACGAATGTGCGACCGGCCTCGAAGCTAGACGATGCCAAAACGTGCTTCGCATGCTGCACCTGCACCGACAAAGCATGATTTCTGAGCTTGAACTGCCAAAACACGCTTCAAGACCTCACTTGTTCTGAGAAGTTGCGACTGTCGAGCAGTAGCTTCCACAGCGTGCTTGGAGTGCGACCCTTGCACTGACAAGGTCCGATTGGCGAGCTGGACGTGTAGAAAGCACAAAGCGCTGCGAAACAAGATGGTCACCCCGGATTTTCAACGTTGTTGTAAAACGACTCTAAGCGAGTCCAAAACGAGAAACCAACTGGAGCATTGCGGAAGACAAGAGAATCAGTCAGCTGCTCATATGCTCTTTTTATTTTTTTTTGCGTGGGTGGTTTGGGGGTAGTGCAAACCTTGTTGGAACTAAGGATTGGCGCATCAAAATCAGCGATTACGGCCCCCCTATTGAGGAGCTAATTATCCCCTTGAAGCAAAATTTGCCAAGCAGTTTCCGGAGCCTTGGATCAATCAGTGGGTATTTCCCCAAGATTGCGCTTTCCGAGGAATGGTTCGGGCCATTCTGAGCAACGGCAAGCCGCTTTTGGTATCAATGGGATTCCTCAAAATGATGGACGAGCTCATCCAAACATTTGCCGCGTCAGGTCTAAATCAACCGTAAAATTGGTGAGGATGTAAAGCTGAGTCTTGTCAGTGCGCCACATTTCCCAGCCAAGTTGGTGGCGTGTGTTTATCAAAACTTCCATTTGCTGAAATGAATCTTTCTTGTTTTCCCCTGTGGTTTTTTTGGTGTTAACAGGGGATCAATGACTGGACATATTTGCTTGTTTTTTTCAGTTGACTTCGGCAAATGGCCACGAACCTCGACCTCAAAGTGCCACGGCTTTCTGAATTTAATTCGACGGAGGCCGGCTGCGGCGAAGCCTGGCGCGAGGCCTTGCGGTCTTGCCCGGGGCCTCGGGTGGTCGGGGGTCGTGTCCCAAAATGGGATGTCTGCCATGGCGGGGTCGTTTTGCTTCGGGCATCTGAAGCTTTTCAGGTTTGAAATTCTGGTGGGTAATTCTGTTTCTCAAGATTTGCAGGTGCCCCGTTGTATGTTGGGCTGAAGAGCCGCCAGAAAACAAGAGGCACACATGATCAATTTGCGTGTCTCAGGTATTGTGAGGGGAAGAAACGGGAACCAACATGTCGCTCCCGTGATCATCTGACTCGTGGCATTCAGATCCCGTTAACGCCCATAGCGTTGTTGTTCCATTGCTTCTGAGGCGTCGTTGCCCCGTTGACAATTCGCATTAGGCCAAGTATAGAGGGGCAAAACCGACCCCGTTCATTTCCTTTCTTGGGGCTCCATGTCGCATTTTAGGTCTGATCTTGTCGTTCACCCAAGTCAACCCTGCATCACATGCGGAGTCAGGTTGTCACAGCATTCTAAAAAGTCTAAAACGTTTCGCACCCACGTGGTGCGCACGGCCGCGAAAGCACGCAGTCACTTGCGACTCAAACAGCTTGGCGCTGCGGAAGCGCGATCAGAATTCACGTGCATACGTCTGGATATCTTATGGAGAGGTCACCTGGCAAAACGAGCTCAGGATGAAGGAAGCTCCTTTTCTGGGGGTGGGGTCCTGGTTTCCAGTGTATAAATTCTACTTGCCGAATGCGACACCCATACTCAAAAAGCCGCCGGAGCTTCTCTCTAAGCAAGAAGATTCAGGAAGTTTGAATGCCGAGTTGGCAGAATCGAGCCCATTTGACCTCCCCGTTCCTGTCTCATGTTTGTTTCATAGTTTTGTTTGTTCACATTTTTCGAGGGAGGCGAGGCTAAGAAGAACGATTTTTGTCTCAATTGTCCAAAGCCAACCTTTAGACCTTTTGGTTTTCCAAGTTTGGTCCATGTTCAGTCATGGCCGCAAAAAGGTTCACCTTGTATTTCTAGGTCCCTTCGCAAGTGAGGCATACCAGGGCTGACGGCCCAGCCTCAAACAGGGAAGGGTCTGGCCCACTGGCTTCCGAAGCCGCCTTCGCCATGCGCCAAGCTTGAGCCGGCTTGTTGCCATGGAAGGCGCGGAACATCCAACTGGAAAGTGACGGCCTAGGCACAGCGAAAGAGGAAACCGCAAGACTAAGGCAACCATAGGTGGAACCAGCCATCCGGCTCTTAGCAGCTTTTTAGTTTCGTAGGGTTGAGTGGTTCGGCTTCCATTTAACCCATTAAAAGTTCTGAGGACAACCCAGAAATGGACACCAACCTGGGTAATCTCTTTTGAACTCAGGCGCTGAAAAGCACCTGGAAGTAGGAAAGCGGGGACCGTGTGACTCACCGGGCAAAAGAAGACTGCTCTTCCCCAAAGGGGTCCTCCAATGATCTTTTCATATGTTTGGTCAGCCGCACATTACATACTTTCTGGGAGACCCAAGGTTAGTCAGCAGGGGTGTAAAACTCAGTTGCCCAAAGCCGACCTTTTTTTGACCTTTTGGTTTCCCTGATTTGGTCCATTTTTAGAAAAGGTCCCAAAAGGTTAACCTTTTACTTCCAGGTCCTTTGAGCAAGTGAGAAAAGGTTGGCGCTTTACAGCAAAGTTTGGCGCCGCCGAAGCATGCGACGGCCCAAAGGTTTCAAAGCAGGCCACTCATTTCTGAGTCGCGAGGCTAGGCCTGGCATCCCAACCGAACCGTATGTTCCTCTTTGCTACTTCCCGTTCTGGTCCTATCATTTTACTTCGGAGTTCAGAGTTCCTTTCACAACCTGAAAGCCTGACAGTTCCTGAAAGCACGTCATCTTGAACCAACTCACCAGCCATTCTTGCGCATGTTATTGCACAGGAACACCACATACTTGGGCATCCCAGCGGCTGATTGCAATACAGGGGGCAACTTCCGGGGCAACATCTTTTGGTTGCTGATTGGCGGTTGGAAGCCTATGGGTTGTTAGTTGGGAGAAGGGGGAGAGGCCGACAGGCCTGCTAGTTTATGCAGAACTGTCTTGTGCCACGAAGGGAACCGTGCAACATGTATCAAAAGGGACCCCTCAATTGATGTGAACCGATGCTGAGTGACGACAAGAAGCTAGACCAGTTGTATTTCAACCCTTGATTAGCATGGAGCCTGGTTTTCACATCTCCTTTGTTGGCCCAACAAGTCCAAAATGTTGACCATGATCCATGCACTCTGCTTGAAGTGTGGTTTTTGATCATTCCCCATGGTTTTCCAGAGAAATGGCCATGGGTGAAAACCCCGTACCCCCGGTGAACATTCCAATCCCCACTAAAATAGGTTCTAAGATTGGTGCAAATTGGATCCCATGGTCCCATTGGTTTTGAACCATGGCCAAAATGGGTTTGTCTCACTGGGCAAGCCCTCTTGGCCATCGCCCATGCAGGCAGACGTTTGGGCCAAGGCCTCTGGCAGTCCCCGCTGAAGGAGACGGGCTTCTTCTGCGCGGGCTCACATAACAGTGCCGATGTGCGTTGGGTTTGTCACGGGTGTCTCATTCTTTTGACTAGGTCCCTTTTACCATTTCTTTTTTGGGTGGGAGGGTTCCCCTACTCAAATAGACTACAGAAAGAAAAAGGTACCCTTATTCTAACCTTTCTACTGGAGGACCTAGTTGGGATTCCCAGCAGATCGTGTTTGCTTTGGGAGGTGCCACTTTGTTTGTTCTTAGTTTCCATTTTACTCAGGCTTCTGCCCTGCGCTCAGAGGGGTCCCCTGTTAAGTCGTTGCAAGGTGGCATTGTTCCTATTGGTACCCAGTTGCACGTATCGGCGACCAACCCATTTTGAATCTAACCCTGGGTGGCTTCCTCTTTGTTTGGCCTTGCGCTCCTCCAGAATGTGGATGTCAAAGGACGCCCCTCCATTTGGACATGCCTCTAACAACAAATACTTGGCTACCAATTCAAGGCCCTTCCCAAACAAAGCAAGGCTATAAAGTGACTGAACCCCACACTAGTGTGATTTCAAGATGCGTACCCACCAATCATGAAAGTGCACAGACCCTTCCGGTCTTCCGAAAGGTTAGCTTTCATGGGTAGGCCACGTACCGCCGAAGAAAAAAAGAAAAGTTTGAGTCATCAACCCATCTTCACCTATATTGTTTAACCCATCTTTACCTTTTTTCGACCGCCAACTTTGCCCTTTGAGCCCAGCCCCAAACCGGGGGGCAGCCCCAAAAGAACGAGAAAACCGGCCGCCCGGCCGCCAGGAGCTCCCGGGCTGCGGCTTCTTCCCACGGCAGCACTACGCCTCGGTGGCGCTGAACTCAGGGGACCAGGTCTACGTCCTGGGCGGCGGAGCCGGGGACAGCGGCTCGGAATCCTCCGGCGGCACAGGGGGCCGCGGGGTGCCGGTTTTTTGGGCGATTTGGCGAGGAGGTGGGCTTCAACGTACATTTTTGGGGGGAATTCCACCACCGGGTTCAAGTCCACTTCGGGGTTGACAAATGGCACCCTGGATGGGCGTGCTCGGGCCCTGAGATTTTGGTTGAGCGGGGAAGATGCAACCCAAGAAGTGAAAGGGACCCAAAGCCCTTTTAAGGCCCCTCTTGAAGTGACGGGATTCTTTGTGCCAAGAAAGTCGTCTTCCGATGGTCTGAGCACTTCCTTTGTGCCGTTTGACGCAACCGAAGTGGATGTTCCTTGGGTCGGTTTGTTGGGGCCCCGTGTTCCAAGAGGACAGTGCCACTTTCTTGGGGCCCCAATTTTGAGACAAACCCACAGCCACCACTGGGATGCCTGGAGTTCTGTTGCCATTGGGAGGAAAAGCATGAAGCATCCCGCTAAGAAGCCTGCGATCAAACACCCACGCGAGTCAAGGCAGGGGCCGGTACCTGAACGACGTGTGGCGGGTGCGCCTCGAAGGCAGAGAGGGTGGAAAGGAGAGTGGTACATTTGCCCAATTCACAAAGCGCACCCGAGGGAACATCAACATGTTTTGCTCAGGTCCCGAATCTTCCAAGAAAGTAGCCATTCTAAGCCAGTTCTAACTCCAGTCGTATGTGGGGCACTTTGGCACCAGTACTCACTGGTACTCACCAGTACTTAGCCAATGCTAAACCAAGACGAAACCAATATCCGAAACATACCGCTGATTTCCGCCGATTAGTTTCCTTGCTCAAAACAGCAAACATTGAACCAGCGGGGGGGCACCCCATTTGGACGAGGACTGTGGCGGAGGCCCCCCGCTACCCTGACGCACCCGATCTAAATAGTGTTGTGCCGCCAGGCGAATGAAGTATTTGTGAAGGTGCTGCGGTTATAAGGATGATGAAATTTATTAAGATGGGGTCGGGAACTATGAAACCAAGTTGAGTCAACTGGGATGATTGATTGATCCACTAGGAAGGGGATCATGCCAAAACTCCTCCAATTGTCCAACGTTTCAGCACCCCAGCGCCGTCTTCGAGGGAAAACACTGTGAATTGATGTTGAAACAACACTGGTTGGACCCCGCACCCACTGATCCACACTTGGATCAAGTATCATTTCTGGTTTGGTCAACGAAACAGGTCCAAACTGCTCTCCAGATAGCCCAAAGACCCATTCCCAGAGTAACCTTTTGGGAGGGAAGATTGCCAGACTGCGCCTGCCGGTTTGCAGTTCCTGCGTTCCCCTTTCAACCAGACAGTGGACTTTGTGTGGGGCATCCAAGTTTGGCCCAGTTTCAGTGGTTCCATGCCATGTTGGTGTGTCTGAGACCGGTCTTAACATGTTTGAGCAGGCTTGAGGCTCATGTTTGGTCCATGAATGTGCGGTATGGTGACTTCCGATGTATTCGCGTTTCCCTTTCAGTTTCCCTTCTCAGCCTGAGCCAAATGCTGTTTGCACAAATTCCAGCGACTTGCTCTGTGTCCTAAGGCATGTGTCACAGTGTCTGATTTTCGGGTGCGGATCGATGTCACCTAATACGAGCAGAATGTGCTCGCTTCAGATGCGATCGGAATATCATTTTGGATTTCGGCCCTTTTGCTTTGCTTCTAAAGCAGGAGTGGCCCAAGGGCCAATGTACTTGGGAATTATAAAAATTGCAAAAAGTGGGTCAAGACGGGTCAAAGTATATTTTGTGGCAGCACCTGGACCTTTTTCTGGGATAGTTGTTGACAAGATGGTTCATTTTAAGCGTAACTAAGCATGAACCGGAATAAGCCATCTCATGTTTGCTGAGCAAAACCTGAGGTCGTGGGAAACGTCCCCTTTTGACTCCCAGTTGTCGACTGCTGGTCTAAGCATTTCCCAATGGTTGAACTTTTTGGTGAGGCAACTGGCAAGGCTCTAAAATTCGACCTTTGACCAGACAGGCACCATGTTTGTTTGGTGAGACAACTGGAACGGCTCTAAGAATCGACTTTTGCCCAGGGCAGAAAGGCGCCATGCTTTCAGCTTGCCAGGTGCAGGCTGGCAGTGGCGCGAGGTGTCTCCCCACCAAGAGGGCCGCCGCGACATGGACGGGGTCCATTTGAAGCCACAAGGTGCTCCCCAGAAAGGCACGGCGAAGGGCAAACCCCCGCAGAAAATCGGCGTTTGGTAGGCACCAATCGGTTTTGCAGCTTGATCGGTTCTGGTGGTGATATCCACAAACAAAGCCCCAGGAGAAGTATATCGCAGAAGAGAGCGACCAGTCAACGAGTCAAGCAGCTAAACAGCCAAACTGCCAAACCAAAGGAGTCAAACACAAGCTGAGATGCACATGGTTCCTCCTGCTGAAGTGCCAAGAGAAAAAAGAGAGAGAGAGAGAGAGAGTCAAAAACAAAAGCGACAAAAGCGACAAGTCAAGAGAGAGCGCATCACAAGTGCAACAAGAGAGTCAGACTCGATTTTCTTCTCTTGCTTCAGCGCCACCTTGCCAGCTACACGGTGCTCTTTTTCCCGAGTGCTTCCAGTTATCAAGCTGTAGTACTAGTAGGTAGCTAGGATACAACCCACCCTGGTTACTTGTGATAGCCAAGAGCTTCCAGGGCTTTGCGTGCTCCAAATGCGACTTTTGGGACGTGGTTTCCTTTTGAACGACCGACTTTGGACGGCCCAGTCTGTGGAAACCGGGTTTCTCCCCGCGAGGACGGGAGGCTGTTGCTGTCCAAGTGGTCCGGGCGCGGTCGCTTCGGGTGCTGTGCAGCGGCCAAGGGCGGGGCACTGAAAGCGCTCTACGCGCCTCGCAGATCAATGGGCCGTGTCTAGCCCTTTCTAGTGGCTTTAAAGGGAAACCGTTGTCCCATTTGAGAGGGGATTCGTTGCAATAATGGCGGGATGGAATTAGCACTCAGATAACATGTCATGTTGATTAGAGGACCTTATTCATCTTGGTTAGTGATAGTGGGGTATATCAGGAGTAAAGGGCAGGGGTATCAACTTCCAAGGTGACGGGCGGTCAGGGCAGCACCTGCTTCGAAGACTTCTGGGCGTCTACGGATGGGGAGTCCTGGCGCCTTGACTGAAAACGCACCGAATTTCGGAGGGGTGCCGATGTTTGACTAAGACATTGCCAGACTTGGCTTATGTGTTTGTTCCTTCTTTAAAAACAAAAAAAACAATAAGAAGAGAGAAACACCTTTTGGGAAATATTCTTCATGTTTTATATGTTTTCTTTCAACCAGGAAAAAAAAAAACATATCTTGTTGGGTGTCTAAGTGCAGTAGTGCCCGTTTTTGTCCCGTGTTTGGAAAGAGATTCCCAATGTTGAACGTCACCTACCAAACGCGGGGCATTGTTGAAGCTCAAATGGGAAGTCTATCGCACCAGTGCAATTATGCGTCGTTGTAACTCACGTGCACAACGCTACCACAGCTTGTCAGTATGTAAAAGTGGCAGTTTAGATTCCGGTCCATAGTCAACCGTCAACCATTTTGAGGTCCAGGATGGTGCTAGACTACATCGTTTGCTCAGCTCTAGAAAGCTACAACAAGAGCATGGGAACATTACATTTACAGTCAGGTCGATCGTCCCACGTAAACATTGGCAGGTTGCAAGTCTTGGGTGAACAAGTTACCGCAACTTACGAGGGTTTGTGGCTTCGATGTGGTTGGAGAGGTTGGCACCTGCGATCTGGCGGTCTTCTTTTGGGGCTATCCTGGAAGGGGCTAATAACTCCTTGAAGAGTCTATAAGAACCTCTTGAGGGAGTTCCTAGGGAGATCCTTGACAATAGGAACTTTTTGTGACAGCTGCTCCTTTTACACGCAGTTCCATGTTCAAGTTGCGATGCCTTTGCAGTGCCCTTGCACATGGAAGCTGACAGGGGCTTTTGGGAGGACTCTCCAGGCGCTTTTGTTAGAGGAAGTGTAGTGTTGCTCCGAACCTCAGACCAAACCACGGGTAGACCATTGATTGGCATTGGTCCCCTTTGCTTTCCGGGGCAAGTTTCTAGCCTGGAGCACACCTGGTAGTGTTAGGTGTAATGTAAGGGGCTGAACAGGGAGACACATGATGGGTTTGTCTTTTGTGGGTACCCAAGGTTTTTGGCGGTTTTAAAGGGAAACCACAAGGAAAACCACAATGTTGCGGGGGTGACCCAAAAAAGCCATCGTGAAATGTCCTATGCTCATGGCTAATTTGGTTCAACAGTGTCCCAATTCTGAGTACTTCGGCCCAAGAATAGGTCAAGACACATGGGGCCAACTAGATCTGCCTTTTCTGGTGGTTTTTAACATAACTCACGCAGACATGATAATATCTTAAAAATTAGCCTTATTGTACGCAATAGGGGCAATTGTAGTTGAAAGGGAGTGTAGTTCTTGAAAGGGCTTGGGCAAATCATATCGACCCAACCCGAGTAGGAAGTGACAGGAAGTTAGTTGAAGGCTTCGGCTGCGTATTTCAACGCGAGGTACTGCATGTGCCAGAAGGTGCCCTGGGGTGGCCGCTTAGACCCAGGCGCGCTGGGCAGGTTCGGTGCGAACTGGTGCGCCCATTGAGTTTTCATACTGGCGACATCAACCTAAGGGGTTTGTAGGGTTATACAAGGGAGTCAGCACCGGGGTGCACGGGGTAGAAAAGGAATTGCATGGAGGGTATATGAAGAAAGCTATATGAAGGATAATGTGAAGGGTATAATACAATGGTGTAAGATCATGTAAGGCGATGTAAGGGGTGAAGTGTTTTTTTTTTTATTATCGTGTTTTTTCTTTTTTCGGGGGGCGCCTGTCCCAAAGTATAGCTGCCTTGCACCTTGAGCACAGCGCAATGCACTCAGACAGTAGTGGAAGTGCGGCAAGCAATGCGGGGAGTAGGTACAAGGATGTGTAGTTGCAAACACATCAACCACTTGACTCACTTGCTCACCCAAATGTCCAAGAGTGCGATGCGGCAAACCCGTGGACCCCTCTCGTTTGATGGTGTTCAAGGGGACTCAACCGGAAACCAAGCAACTGGAGTGGGATTATTCTTGATCGCTTCTCAAAACAGCGATTGCGGACTAAATGTCCTTTAGTATGCCTCTGAGCGCAAACAATATATATGTATTAAAACAAATGTTTATTTACAAGTAGGGAAGCGATTAGTGCGCCGGATTTTGCCCCCCTTCTCTCCTTCCCCCCCCTTCCTTCCCCCCTTTGCGCCGCACTGGGTGGCCAGGGCTTTGCGTGGTGCCCACTGAGTACCAGCAGCTCGTACTCCTTGGAGGCAGAGCCTCTGTCGCGGGTTCCACTGATGAAGATGTGGCTGTGGGTGTCACAAAACGGGTAACCCCAAAACGGGTTGCCCTGGCAAATGGAAACATGGACCAAACAAAATGCGGTCCAATTCCTGGTGGTTTAATTTTGACCCACACCCACATGTGGCAGTGGTTGTCCAAACCGTTATGAACCTATTTTAGTGGTTGGATTGGGATGTTCACTGGGGGTACGATTTGGGTTTTATGTGACCTGACGTTCTTGGGGACCTGGACGACCATTTTTCTTTAAGGGGCAGGTTCCATGTGAGTTGAGAAGGTAATTAAATAGCCCCATGTTTTGGTTCATTGATCCAAAGTCGGGCAAGCCCTGGTTGGTTTGGATTGGTGGCCTGGATTTGGAATTAAATGGGTCCCTGGCTCTCAGGACGCGTGAGAAGCTGCCCCCCACCAATCCCCAACAGGTGGGTCATGTTCAGAGAGTTTTCCAGACCCTCCCGTTCGCCCAGTTTCCCGGTTTCTCCCAAGAATGGTCGGGTCCGGAAAGGGCTCGCAACTGTTTGTTTGTCACTCCCGGACCTCCTTAATAAAGCAGCCGTCCGTTTTTTGTTTTGGGGGGCAAACATCTTTCGTAGGGTTCCCTTCTGATCTGGGGCTTGAGTCACTTTTTGGGCTCGGATCTGACCATTTGAGTGGCGAAACCCTAGGAGCCCACCTTTCTGGGTGCGAACTTGCCCATGCCCAACCAAAAGGGGAGGTGATGTTCCTTGTATTTTGCCAGACCCCCAATTTGTTCGCACCCAGCTTTTCTGCGTTTGGGGGGGGGGGGGGGGGGGCGTGCCATGGACACTTACGCTCTATGTTGCAACCTCAAACCCAAAAAAACAATATCCGAAACAAAGAGGTGACCCTAAGTGTCCACCGGGAACCCAGGAGGAACTTGCTGGTGCTCAGTAGGGAATGACCCAGGGTGTTGGGTTTTGGAACCTAGGGATTCCCTTAACGGAAACTAAAAAGGGATGGGGTCATTCCCTCATCCTCTGCCGAGAACCAGCAAGGAAACCCCTGCTTGGTGGCTCCCAGCCATCCCCTTAGCCTTTTAGACTTTTTGTGTTTGGTGGGGGTGTCCATTTGACCTACTAAAAGTTAGTCACGTTTAGCAGGCTTTGGCCCACTAAAACCTAAACTTTGAGCAGGGGATCTGAGGGCAGCCCAGCCTGGTTTCTTTTTTTCCCAGGCATCGTGCCGGGCGTTGGGCTGCGTGTGGAGCGCGACCTTTGGCTCTCGGAGGACGCAGGAGCCACGTGGCACCTGCTGCAGACCCCGGCCCCTCGGATCGCTTGTTGTTTTCTCTTTTGGTTTTCCTTGTTTGGTTTTGTTTCTCCTTTGTTATGTTGTTTCTCTTTTTTTTCCTCCCCTGCTGAAAGCTTTGGGGTATTTTGAGGTAACCCTGAATTGGTGGTTTGGATTGGCGGTTTGAATTTGGATTAGAAGCCCTCCTTGTAGAGTGTGGATGGGAAACCCTTCCTTAACCACCAAGACACCAATCAAAATCACCAAGTGGAAGGAAGCTGATAGGTGGCTGCACATTTCAGTGAGCCACACCCATTTGCCCGGATAGGCTCCGGAGTGGCTCGGATCGGCTGCAGGCTGGGGTTCCAGGAGAACCTGGGCTCATTTTCTCCGGATCCATCGGATATCTTTAGGGACAGCGGCTCAACCTTTGGGACCATCGGGGACATGTTTGCCCCAGACTCGAATGAACAAAGCACATATTGTTTAAATAGGTTTGGAGGCGAATGTTAAGCTGCCCTAGGCCATTAAAGTTACCAAATCGTAACTTCCCAGATCCCAATCCTCTAAAATGGAAATCGGGAATGGGGACCCTGGAGATCCTCATGGGCAGCGTAGGTGAAAATCTGGTCGCGAGCGCCGGGTCCATGCTCGCTTTTGTGAAGAGACCCAGAAATTAAATGGGGGTGTCTTTTTTGGATGTTGCCCTTTTGGCGGTTGTTATTAAAGGGAAACCAACAGGAAGCCACCGTTTTTAGGGGCTTCCCCTATTTTGAGAAAAGCCCAAATGGAATTGGTGTCCTGAATTCCACCCCACTTGAGGTGGTGATCTCGCATCCGGATCCGGCGCTTTCCGTCTTTGCGTGGTTCAGAAGTCACATTTTCTTGCCACGCTCGAGTAAAGCGCGTTCAGTTGCTATAGGGAAGTTTTGGGTTGCACCTCCTTGTAGGATCCCATCTTTTTGAGGGCTGCCCATCTCTTTTCCCAATGGCCACTCGGCCGTTTCGTTTCGGAAGGGGTAGAACTCTTTTCACCGTGCAGATCAATAGTTCCCTCCTGGATGGTTTGTTCTTTGCTTTTCCCCGCTGAATCTTTTGCGGCTTGCAGCCATTTCGGTTTTGTTTGTTTGGGGTTCTGCAGACAAAGTAAGCCTGATGCATGTGCCCCAGTCTTTGCCCCTGGGATGTTGACTTCACCTTTTGAAGGGCTTCCTGGGCGTGGCTCAAAATTAAACAGAGGGGCAAACCGCAGGGGTTGGTCCATGTTTCCACTTAACAGGGCAACCCATTTTGGTACCGGTTTCTTGAGCCACAGCCTCCTCATGTCGGTCTGCGTGTGAGTTGTGGCGCCCCCCTGGGGAACAACTCGGCCACAGGGGAGGGCACCGCCTTGAACACCGGCCTGGTTCAAGAACCCCCTTTCTTTTTGTGGGTTTATATAGCCTTCAGCTCCGGCTTTTTGGGTTAAATCAGCTTCTCTCTTTTTTAGGACCTAGACATCTACCATGTCCTTACCGACCTAACCGGTAGCTCAAGGCGCATCGCGTCTCCAGCGCTTCGCTCGCTGAAGGACTGGGAGCCGCGCAGCTGCCCGGTGCTCTTCTTCTGCCCTCCCAGCCACGGCAAGCGGTGGCTGCTGGTGCTGGGGGGCGCTCGCCTTTCGGAGGCCGACGAAGCGCGTTGAAGGGAGGTGAGGGAGGTGAGGGAGGTGAGGTTGGAATGGGCGCTTTTGTTTTGTCATTTGCCCCCCCATGAGCGGTTTGGTGTCCTTTTTAAGTTTAGCTTTACGAAATAAATGGAGGATGGAATGGGTTGTTTTTCTCACAGAACCCCCATGATCGCCAGGGCCATTGATTTTTCCAAAAGGTCACCTATGCCCATGAGTGGTTCCCCGGTGTCCCTGTAAAATCAAAGGCCCACATCGAAAGTCAAGCGTTAGACCGCAATGGGATGAATGACCGGGCGATCCTCCGACAGATCTAAAGGGCCAAATGGGAACCCAGGATGAATAAGGACCATGGCTCTGTATGTTTGCTCTGGGCAAGCTAATTGTGGCCGTGGCTTCTCAATTGGGGAGACCCCTTGTTTGTTTGTCAGCGAGCAAGAAAATAATGCTTGCGCAACAGCTAGCATCATGCAAGCGGCCTTTAAGTGGAGGGCACATGAGAATGACCCAGCCCAGTTTTGCTGGCCCACTGAGTTCACCCGAACAGCATTCCAGAATTTAGCCAACGGACCTGAAAGTGGAACCCCTCGCAAGGTAAAAACAGGAGTCCTTTTTCCTTGTTTTCGCAGAACATGGATGGCTCTGGTTGTTTCATGATCTACCAGGACCATCTACTTCCCAAAAGGGCAGATATTAGCCATGCATCCTACATTGTTCCAAACGGTCCCCGTTGGCAAACCTGCAGGTGCATTCGCAAGACGCAACCTTTTGGGCTTATATACAGGGCTGGATCGTTTTACTTCCCAAGTTTCTAGACATACTGTTGGGAACATTTGTTTTTGGGTAAACAAGCAGATGAGTAGCTGGCCAAATGGTTGGTAGTATGCTCTTGGTTTGCGGAGGATGTTTCACAATCTTCACAAAAAGCCAGGGGACAAACAACCGCATGCGGGTAACTTTCCTATGTATCTTCATGTCCCTGGACAATTCATGTTGTGACATTGAACCAGATGAACATTAATATTAGAACCATTACCATCCCTCATGTCAGCTACGCACATTACACGAATCCCGCAAATTCGTCTCGCCTTGTTTTTCCCCTCGCAGACCTCCGCTGGGGACCGCGCCCATGCAATCGGCCCCAAGTTTCTGGACGATGCCTGGGCCGTGCACTTGGACTTTTTCACGCGCTGCCTGGCAGGCCATTGGTACGTTATCTCTGTTGATTGCTCTCGATGGTTTTGGTTTGTTTGTTTGGTACGTGGTTGGTTTGTTTTGAGTTTATTTGTGTTGTCTTGTCTTGTGTGCATGAATGATTATTTGCATTTGTTTCATCCAGTATTTATTGCTTGAATCCTTACTTCTTGTTTGTTTTTTCTTTCTTTCTTTCTTTCTTTCTTTCGCATTATTTGCTTGCCTTTCTTTTTCTGCTTGCATGCTTGATTGCTGGCTGTTTGGCTGGCACCCTCTGTCCGAGGCCAGGGCACGTGGCAGGACCTCGGCGAGGTCAAGGAAGAGCCTAGCGGCCCGACAAGAACCCAGAAAATCCACATGCGGCTCATTTGGCACGCACAGTGCACTGCGCAAATATGTGTTGCACGATTTCGAAGCGGTTTTCTTGATAATTGTTTGTTTTTTTCCTGGCTAGTTGCCACGCAGCACAAAAAACGGTATATGTAAAATTAGGGGACCCCACAAATTAGTGTTTCCCCTTGGGGCAAACCTAAAAAAAGGCCTCAAAAACAATCACATACATACATAATATATATATATATATATGTACATACATACATATATATATATATATATATATGTTTGTATGTATGAGTATACACAAACCCATGTGGAAAGCCCATATCCTAAGAACCCGCCGTGCTAGGTGACAGGGGCTTCGACTGCCACTCTGCCGCCTTCGACCCCTCGGCCTGCGAGTCGAGTGCCCAGGAAGCAACCATTTTGGACTGAGACACAGCCATGTTGGGGTTTAGGGTTTCGGGGTTTAGGGCTTAGGGTTTGGGGTTTTGGGTCTGTGGTCCCCTTTGAAATTATGTGTTTTCCTTTGGTCTCCCTTGAAGTGTCTCTCCATTTTGAGAGGGGCCTCTCAAAACAGTCCCCTAAAATGACCTTTGGACCCTTTTGAGACAAACCCATATGGGCGAACCCCTTTTTCTAGGCGCCCCAAAATGGCTTCGATTCTCCTGGTGGTTTGCCGGAAAACCACAAAAAGAGCAGCACCCTCAACAGCAAACAGACCCATATTCAACTTTAAGCATCAACAGAAAGATCCTCAAGCACAAATGGCCCAAAAGTTGGCTCAAATCGTGAGAAGGTGCGCATTTCCTTCGTTCCTTCTTTGTTGAGGGTCTGACTCTACTTTGGAGGGGATTCTCCCCTTTGGGAGGGGCCCTTTTGTTCCCGTGGCCATTAGCCGCTGAAGGTTTTGGCCAACAATAAGAATTATCATTCATAATTCCATGTTCTCCCATCCGGATGACAAGAACCGCCGAATTGGGGAACCCCCGCTGAGGTACGCAAACATAGTTTTGTTGTGTTTGGGTGTTTGTTTGTTTGTTGGTTGGTTGGTTGGTTTGTTTGTTTGCCGGTTTGTTGCTTGGTTGGTTTGGTTTGGTTTGGTTTGGTTTGGTTTTGCTTGCTTGCCTGCCTGCCTGCCTGCCTGCCTGCATGCTTCCTGGCTTGCTTCCTTGCTTGCTGGTTTGCTTGTGTGTTTGTTTGCTTGGTTGGTTGGTTGGTTGGTTGGTTGTATGCTTGTGCGTTTGCCTACTTGCTGTCTTGCTGTCTTGTGTGCTTTCTTGCGTGCATTGCTTGCTTGCTTGCTTGCTTGTTTGTTTGCTTGTTTGCTTGTTTGCTTGCTGTTTTTGCTTGCTGTTTTTGCTTGCTGAGTTTGCTTGTGTGTCTGCCTGCTTGATGTCTTGCTCTCTTGCTTTCTTGTGTGCTTGCTTCCCTGTTTGCTTGCTGAGCTTGCTTGTGTTGTTGGTGTTTGGTTCGTGATGTGAGTTGTTTCTTCGGTATGCCTGGCATTTGCCTATTCGGGTGTTGGCAAGGCGCCGGATCTGCCCGCGGCGCCGTGGTGCTTCTGCGGGAAGGCCGGAAGGGTCGTTTGGGGGATTTCAATGGGTCTGAAACGAAAGGTCCCAACAAATGTTAGGGGGGAAGAAGACCCATCTTTAGGACGTAGATCTTGCTGCTTTCTAAAACCTGGCTGAAAGCTGCAAATCAACGGAAAGCCGTAGTCAAGGACCGTTTCCAGACGAAGCGCAAGGAATCCTCAAAGAAGCCACAGGTGTGTAGTTAGGATTAACATAGCAACATGGCTACGCAATCGCTTGCGCGGTGTTGAAACCTCAGGCTTCCGAATCGCGAGGCGTTTTCTACTCGGCTGCCCCTTCGGCGCTTCCAGCGTGGAGGAAGTTGACACTCATGGAAGGCCGGGCAAGTTGACACTCAGTATTTGTTTACTGGGTGTGTCTTTTTAACGTTGGACTGCACCCCATATACAATCCAAAAAAGACGTACCGATTGTTGGTGTAGAGGACATACAGATTAACCATGCGCACGCCGATGTATTCGGAGGGTTTTCTTGTTTAGTTTCTTTTTTCTGGTACGTATGAAGTGGAATCTGACGCAAAGCAGAAGTGCCATCCCAGATGATCAAGTTTGGTGCAAGCAAGCATTGACACCAACTTGTTCGGGGGTTCGGTTTGGCTGGTTCTCTACACACTGTACTTTTGGGGTGTCTCGGATGTGTGTTCTTTTTGTTGGGTGTCTCGCTTAGCCATCTTGGCAAGTGGAACGGTCGAATTGGACATCTTGCACGATAAATTTGGCTCAACAACAACCCTCGGTGTGTAGCAGCTCAGCCCCCTCCCAAACACGCGTGCCGACGTTTTTGGGAGCTTGGCTTGCTGTTGCGGGTGTCGCTCGTGCGGCATCGGGCTCGGCAGAGCTTAGGATGGTCACAGGGCCTTATGGGAGCATGACTACAGCGGAGTAGAAGGCTTAGAGTTCCGTGGAGCTTAACATGAAACACGTTAATTTGCACGTTGGTTTTGAAAGGAAGAACACGATACAGTTGACTCCCCATTTATGCTGAACAGGAACCGACATGAAACCAACATGGTACAAAGCCGCAACATGATATCCCTTCCAATAGTGTTGGAAGCGGACGAGGGGCCTTTTCAAGTGGATGGTAGTCTTCCAAAACCAGTTGATCGTCCACTTCCACGATTGTCCGGACCCCGAAAAGGGCACTGAACCCAAAATATGGGGCATGTTGCTGTTTTCCTTTAACAGCGTCCAAACGAGCCCGCTGAACCTTTTGCCACCATTTATAGTACGCTAATTTTGAAAGGATGTCGCTTTAGAGGGCTCCAGGTTCATCCCTTTCCGCCACCGTAAGACCTAGGCACCACGCCGGCCCCGAGTGGAATGGCACGCCCACTGCTGGCCGCGGGCCCATTGGCGCCTTGCAACTTGGCGAGGATTCTTTGAGCGTTGTTTTTGAGGCTTAGTGCCCTCTTGTCCCACAGTTGTCAAGGCCCCCACCCAATAGGCCCCCCCGATCTCAATAGGGGCTAATCGCGACTAACAAGGCAAAACACATATGATCAGAGAACAAGGATATGCTTGCAATTGAGTTTTATTGGTAATACAGAATAAGCAATCAACATGATAATAGCATTTTTTTATGAATGGGGAGTGATAGGTGAGACGAGGAACGAATACTCATGAATCCAGATATCACTATCCTATCTCTGTTTTTTCCTTTGCTTTGTCAGGGACCATGCCAGTTGCGAATTTATTGGGACCCCAAAACTGTGGGTTGTTTTAGTCGCCTTGAAAACCAACTGAACGTGGGTTCGGGACCCACAAAGAGAGTTGCACCTGCCTATGGGGCTGCATAAGGCGAACGTGTACAACCCCAGATGTTTAGAGGCAGCCTTCTCCCTTTTTGGGTTCACTAAGAATGGTCAACTCCAAACGAGTTCCAGAGTTGTTTTCTACCTTTCGGGTCACTGATTCTCACAACCAACTCCCGAAATTTCAGGCCCCAAGCTGCTGGATAAACGGGATCAAGCACCGGTGAATGTCTCGCTCCGGTGATTTCGCGATTGGGGTTGCCTCAAAATAGGGGTGCCCCCAAAGATGTTGTTTCCCTTTAAGCCAAGAACCAGAAGGGTCCCATCCAACATGCCGCTTGACGTTCCGTGGCGGGGAAACCATGGGGCCCTCCTCGCCGAGGCCCCCGGCTCTTCGTCTTCACCGCCTCCGGTGGCTTCGCCTCCGGCGCAAAGGAGCTCATGACGCAGCGCCAGGCAGGGGCGCAAACCGCCACTACTTCCATTTGCTGAAGCCCCCGGAAAAAAAAGATGAACAAAAAAAGTAAAGCACATTTCCAGTGGTGATAGATTTCCTTTTTAACCAACAAGGGTAAATAGCAACTATTCTTAAGCAAATGGGAGTCTATGACTTTTACGGGTGTCAGAGACATGTTTCCGGTTTTGGGTTGCAAGTAAGAAATACCTCCAATGGGGCTAAACAAACATAAAGAAAAAACAAACACCACCAAGAATGCCCCCTCTTTTCATGGCCACTGGAGGTCTGACCGCAGCCCTGTTGGGATAACTCTGGAGGAAGACGCTGATGAATTTGCAAGGTTGATGAATCCACACCCCTTGAGGGAAGTCGTCAACCACAACCAGACGTTCACTCTCTCTCTCTCTCTCTCTCTTTCCATGCCACCACAGGCCACTTCTGCGTGTTGTGACTGATCTGGGTGTGTCTCTTAAATGGGACATGGACCTTTAGTTTCCCTCTGAAACGGTACCCTCCGAACAAGACACCCAGATAATCCAGGCCCGCGAGCCGCAAGCTCCCCGCCCATGCCATCCCCCCATCCGGGATCCGGGCCTTGCGCACGGGAAGCCCGTGGTGCCCCCCAGCCACAGAGCCGCCCCCCTCTAATCCTAAGCACCCGCATCCCAGCATCTCAGCCCTAAACTACCCCTTCACAAAGCCAACCGCCTTCACCCACGCTTCTTAACCCACCTAAACCAACCCCAAAGCAACCCCAAATAAACCCCAAACCCACCCCAAGCTCGGCCTAAACCCACCTAAGCCAACTCAACACCACGCCCGAAACCAACCCAAGCCAACCTTCTACACCCACCTAAATAAGCCCTAAACCAAGCGTAATTCAACTCCACAGCAACCGCCTAAACCAAATTACGCCAGCCATAAACCAACCCTCAACCAGCCCCAAGCCAACCCGAACCCTAAGCCAGCCAATCCTAAACCAAGCCTACCCGAACCAACATGTTGTTCAACCCAAACTAAATAAATTCAAGCAAAGCCAAAGCAATACTATCAATCAGTAGTACCCCTACCCCCACAACCACGCAGGGGGGAGGCGGGGGAGAGGGATCATAACAAAGGCTGGCTTTTTTGGGGAGCCCTCGATAGGAGCCGACCAAACGGAAAGCAACCAGTTTGGGATCCTGCAACTTTGAGACGACATGCGTGTGAATCTGGTTAAACAGAGATCAGCTTTTGACACCCCTCATACGCATGCTCATCTTAGCAGGGTTTCCGCTACCCCCAAACCATAGCTGTCAACGAAAAATGGGGGCTGTGTACATCCCTTACATGGCATGGTGAAGCCATCTGAATCTTAGATTACACTGATTCGTTGTGACCTTTTGGTGAACCGTGTCCTACCTCCATTTGCTGAATTGGTGGATTTAAACAATCATCATCCACTGTTTGTGGATGAGAGCAGGCTTCAACCAATGATGCTTCAAATCTCCGCAAGTGAAAACATCAGAGGGTGTTAAATGTTCAAGGCAGAGAGCCTCATGAATGGGATGCTTTGCCAAGTTGTAAAATGCACGTTACCGGTTGAACCGGTTGTTTGTGGCTGTTTACTTGGGTCGGACAACAAACACAAACCTTTTCGTTCTGTGAGGGCCTGTCCCTCAAGGCTTTTGTGCAGGTCTGGAGCACTGCAAACCGATGGTGACGAGAAAAGCCTATACCAACCCATGCCAGGGTATAACATATCCTCACTTCCCGAGTTCCTGGACTGAACATGTTTGTGGGGAAAGCCATTTTAGTGGTAAACAACATGCTTGGATTTGTGTTTTGCCCATCAACTCAAGTGAGTAGCGTTTCAAGGATGTTCCAATGTTTTTGTTTAACCTGTCAAAATCTGCCATACCGCCCCGTGAACATGATTGTTTTGCCCCGTTTAACTTGTTTGACAACTCTGATTCTTTCCGCCTAGCAAAACACAATCAAGCATGTTGCAGGGTATGAAAGATCAAGCCAGCTAGCATCGTTTCAGAAGGGTGACTTGTTAGGTTTGCAACAGCTAAGGTTGATTCATCCGGGGCTAACATGAGCTGTCTCTAATATTTAGGTGTATTTTAGGGGGACGCCTTCTGCCTGGGTCGTGCAGAATTCGAACAGGAAACTTGCCGTATTTTGAAGCAAACCCATAATATATAGAATCCCCTATACCACCCCCAATGAAGGGACCTTTTTCCATTTTAGCCGCCAGGGCTCGGACAAGGGAGGTGCATGTATTGGAGTCGAAGAGGGTAACAACTCCCAAAAACGACGGCGAGTCTTTAAAACGAAGCATGTTATTGTACATTTGGCGGCTTTTTGTGATTTGTTCTTTTGAATTACGATAGACGAGATAGACGAAAAGTAACTGGAAGACTACAGGAAGACTACAGGAAGACTACAGGAAGACTACCGGAAGACTAAGGGAAGATTATGGAAAAAACTATGGGAAGGCGACTACGGGAAGACACTATACTACAACATTACGTGACCAACACCTTAACAACGAAGGCGAGTCTTGAAATCGAAGGATTCAGAGATTTTCCAGTTTGGCACAATGGTTTTGGCAGTGGCCTAATTTAATATTCCCTTTGCTGATGCGGCGTTTTTTGTTGGGGGGATGGTGCCGCGGTGCCAAATGGAGCCCAGTTCAGCTGATTGCCTCCCGGCCGGCTTTTCAACCCAGAGGTGCACATGTTTTCTTGCCTGGCTTTCCTTTAACTGGGTTGTTGAACATCAATCCTGAATCCTTAGGCCAGTTGCCAGTGGTTCCCCTATGTCTTGCTATGTAGGACTACCAGGATCCCCTTATTTTGAACGAAGCTCAAACTCTGCCAACAGATTCCTCTTTTCCTCAACTGCAGGTCTGGGCAGTTGCGTCAAGAAAGCTCCGCTCTTTTTTTTTGGGAAACAAATAAATCGAAAACCCGACACAAAAAAAAGAAGACACAACACGACTTAAAACGACCTAAACCGACTTAAAACCAAACAAAAACAACCTCGGCGTCGCGGTCAGGTCTTGCAGCTTCTGGGGCTGCAGCTGGAGAGAGCCTGGGCTTTGCCCCTGCCGCTCTGGCGCGGACCCTAGGGCACGGGGCCGCCGGCCGCCGGCTGCCCGTGGGAGGCGGTTGGATTTTTGGCTCGGTGCCTCTTGAGTTTTTTGGGGCAAACCTAAGTAAGACTTGGAGGTGTTCGCCATTTGGAGACAAACCCAAATGGCCTATAAATGGTTCGCTGATGGCTTTTCTTTGACGATCCTACAGAGTTTGGCACGCTAAAGAGGCGCAGCAAAACCAGCGACATGTGTTCCCCTTTCGACGGAGCCAAGGTGCCGATGCACTTTGTTTGCCTGGCTCAATGTTTGGTAGCACCCAAGACATTTCCGCTGTCTTCTTTTCACGCAGGGCCGCATTGAAAACCCCAGGAGCTTAGAGGATTTCCGTTGAGTGGGAGTGACGTGCATTCGACGTTCAGTTTTGATTTACCAGGTCGCTTTTAGCCTTCACCGATTGCTTGTTCCCATGTCCAAATCCCAAGTACAGTCCAAAAAGCAGTGGTTGAGTGGTTCGGGGTGCTGGTTCGAGACCAGGTTTGATGTGGATCATGTGCGCATTGTTGAATGCGCTGTAGAGGGAACGTGAGCTCAGGCTTCATAAGGGTCCTTGGCTAGAGCGTATCCCTAAATTGCAGCCTGATTTTAACTCAGGACCATCCAACACGCAAGGGAGGGTTTGTGGAAGTGGTCCTAAGCTCACGCTTTTGCGGCAACCAAATCTCTTCCGTGGGGGTTTCGTGCAGTTTGGAATCGGCGCAAAGCGATCTGTGCAGATTGTGTCCACACTTTTGCGGGGGACCATATTTTGGTTCGACCCCTTCAACTGCATTTCGGACCCTATCGACAAGAGGTAAACAGGGCTAAAAGACAGGCTAGGCTCTTGGTGGTTTTAAATGGAACAACCAAAAGAAACACAACCATTTCGGGGCACAGGGTCCCTCATGTTTGGTCCGAGCCTTGCAGATTCCACCGTCGCTTTTTTGTCTTGCCCAGGCAATCTCGAGTCGTGCCGTGCTTGCTGCCGCGCCCTCGCGCCGCGCGCAAGATGATCGGAAAGAAAAATGGCTGCGCCAGGTAGAGGGTACAACGGACCATCCTATGCCATGAACAAAGGAAAATCACACATCTGTGTCCTATGGTTCAACGGTAGATTGATTTGATTGTGCCCCACAACAACCCCATTCCAATTACTTACAGAGAACACCAAGCGTTTGTAGGTAAATAGAGTTGTGTTTTTGCTTTAGCTTTTTCCGTGTGACTCTCGTGAGATCGTAGAGAAGCCCCCTTGATTTGCGTTTCGTGTGAATTCCCGTTTCGGGTCCTTTGATTTGGCAAGGCAGCCCCTGCTAGGGTTGGAGAAACAGGTGACAACATCATGGCCCAGTTGAATCCGAAAGTTAGGGGTTGATTTGGTTTTGCTAAAGGAAAGCTTGAGAATACAGGTCTGCCCCTGTTACCGTAGCCGCAACGGGTTGCCATATTCCTCTCTTGAGGCCATTGTCAGCGTTGCTTATTGCAAATCAAGGGGACTTGCCTTATTGGTGATGTGTTTTACGAGTCGAACCTCTTGGTGGCTGGTGAGGTTTCTACGAGAGCATTTGCTTGGAGAGCACCTTGATCCGACTGGGCCGGCTACAATGCCTTGTACAAGATGCACTTGATTTGCCGTTACTGGACGTGGCTGAACTTTGACTCTTGTACCCATTTGAGTTTATGTCATTGTCCCCAACCAGCAACAAGGTGTCACTTTACGCAGTTGGATGTGTCTGGCCAAAATGCCTGTTTGGCAACATGGCAGCATTTGGGCCCTTCACGAAAGCGAGCCACTATCAAAACCCGGGCTAAATGAAAGTTCAGGAATAATCCCAACCACAACTGGGCGCCGATGTCAGCGCTGTCGATTATTCATATAGTTTCGGGTAGACCCTCATAATACCAGGTTTTGAACATGACTCAAACGATCCTGCAGAAAGGACATGCGTCCAAGATTTCGGGTTGAACTTTGACCAAGCATCAGCTTTCGCGTGTCCAGATTGGAATGTCCCCCGGAAAGCTGGCATTTGAAGGAGGTGATCCAAAGTCTTTGCGGCATTTGATCCCCTTTAGATTCCCCAAACTCCAGTTTGTCAGAGAAGAGGAATCTTCCAGGAACCTTAGGAAGCAGGCATTCGCTGATCCTCCACTTGAAGCCAAGAGGGACTTCAACAAGGAAGCGGTTTTTCAGTGTCCTTGGAATAATACCAAGGTATGAATACATCATGTGTTTATTGCACAAGTGAGGGCACCTTACAGCCTTCGTTGAGACAAAGTTTTGATTCTGCAATGTCTGCTTGTTGTATTATTCTCAAGCACTACCACCAAGAAATATTCAGATTTCATTTGATTGCGCTGGGCCATGCGTCATGAGGTGTTGTTCACTTGGTTCCCAGCCACCCCCTTAGGTAAAGACTTAGGGTTTAGTGGTAGTTTCCACTAAACCACTCAACGAGGGATTTTCTTCCACTAAACCACTGACAGTTTTCGACCTTTAAGCAGATCTGGGAACAGCCCAGTTCTGTTGGTCTATTTGCGTTAGGATGGCCTCCATGGGGATGCTGGCGCTGCTTGGGCCTCAGCCGTTTCGGCGGACGTGCCGCAACCATAGGAACTTGGAAGAGGAACGTGCTCCAAATTTGAGTACATCAAATCCGCACAGAAATGATGTCCGGGCCCACAAGTAAGCATGAAGCTAATGGATACAAATATATATATATATATATTATACATGTATGTTTATATATATATATGTCGCATTTGGCTTTGAACTGGGGGTACCAACATATACGGTGCAATTATGGAACGGGTGAGTATACAAGGGTAATGTTGATGCCACTCCTTCTAGCATGTTTTTGTTTAGTTTGTTTGCTTTGCCGGTTCTGTTGGTGGGACTGCAAAGAAGAATGGACTTCCGAGCCCTCCGAGGGTTAGATAGGGTCCTCGACATGGACACAAGTGCCTTTTTTCAATGATTGAGAGGAACCCAACAGGAAGCCACATATTCTCCGGGGTCCTTTCTTTCTGGAAACACCCACTTAGCTTGGTGTTGCTACGATTTTCACTTTCCAATCCTTCTTATTGGAGCTGCTTTATTCGACACTTGAAGTTATACACTCAAGTGGTCCTACTTGGGCTCGTCGCATGTTGCATGAAATGGTAGGAACGTGATTCCACACCGTAGAGAATCGTAAAGAGCACGCCGCCAAAAAGGGCCTACTAGACGTTTCGCGTGTTTGTTAGTGTTCTGCTTTTCTGCATTTCTTGCTTGCTTGCTAGCTTGCCTGCCTGCCTGCCTGCCTGCCTGCCTGCCTGCCTTCCTGCCTGCCTGCCTGCTTGCGTGCTGCCTGCCTGCTTGCTTGCTTGCTTGCCTGCCTGCTTGCTTGCTTGATTGGTTGCTTGCTTGCTTGTTTGCGTGTTTGGTTGTCTTTGTTTCTGGGTTTTGGGTAAAGATGTTGTTGTTGTTGTTTTTACTAGGATATTTTGTTTACAAATGCTGGTTTTCCTTTGGGCTGCCAACATCCCCAGCATTACCTGGACCAGGTCGGGCTGGAAGCCTTCAAACAACTTACCCAGTTTGGCGGGGGGCAGTCTTATCCACGCCCCAACACTGTTCGACTTGCTAGCCAGTTTGCCCTTGGCTCTTTGAGTTTCCATCCCGCCGAAGAAACGAAATGAGCCACAATCAAAACCCGGGTAGATGAATTTGATTCAGGGACAATCCCAGCCATGAATAGTTGCGGCATGGTTCTGGGTGGACCATTTTAATACCGGGTGTTGATTGTGACTCAAATGAGGCTGTCTGGCTTCGGGCTGCTGATTATGGAGTCGGCCCGACACATGCACGACCACTGGGACGTGTACCAGAAGGCCGAAAACGGGTGTCCTCCCAGGGATGCCTGGGGCGAGGCATGGGGTAGGATGCAAGGGTTGGCCTTTTTGTTGCTCGGGGGTGGGAGCTGGTTGTTTCTGGTCTTTGCATGTCTAGGTCCCCCAGTAGTGCCCTGTTACCGTTTTTTTGGGGAAGGTTCCCCTACTAAAGTAGGCCACAGAAAAAGGGTACCCTTATTCTAACCTCTCCACTGGAGGACCTAGATGTTGAGGTTCTCAGAACATGGGCCATGACCTTAAATGGCTTTATGTGTTGTTGGGCTGAGAATGAAGTGAAGCTTGAAGACCTCGTTCGGATTTGAGTTGGACACATGGACAGCGCGGCAACAGGGTGAAGCTTATGATTTGACCATGTGAGCCTCAATCAAAACCCCGGGAAACAAAAGTCCGTATGGGACATCCGTCGAAGCGAGTTTTCTCGCGGACCAAGTTCGGACGACGCTCATGGCACGAGCCATTGACATCTGGCGAAATTGCAATTCCCAGAAGTAAGTGTCATTCCCACATTCCCAAAATGGAAATGATCATCATTCCCATCATCCCCTCCGGTAAATGTCATGTGTGTGAGCTCTTTTTGCCCCCGGATCGGCGAGCTCCTCATGATTTGCCCAAAGAATATGCTCGAGGTCGGCGAACGAGCACCCCTTTCGTTGGAGGCACGATGTTCTCCATGTCAGAATCAAGCCATGCCGCACGTTCCAATCTCCGAATAGCCCAGTGTAACTAGGTCCCTTCTGCATCCTACAATCCACAGCCGAGCTGCCGGACGTTCACCTGAGTGGCTTTCATTCGTGTGCCGGTTTTGTTGGGGGCATCCCCAGTGGCTGGCTCTTACAAACCAGTGATTCAAATCGCGGAACACCCGTCCAATCCACGTGAGTATTGCCAGTCTGTGTGGTTTTTATGTTTGATCGTTGTAGTTGTTCCATAGGGCCTTTTTTGTTTGTTGTTTACTTCCTTTCCTTCTTAGTTTGAGCAAACCGTCGTGGTTTGGTTCCTTTGTTGTGCTCTGCTCTAGTGCTCATTTGCGGGTCAAGCATCAGCATTGAAAGCTTCAGGGCGCGGACCAGCTGACCAAGGACCTGCTGGCGCTTTTCAGCAAGGTGCCG